GAAGTGATGAAATTATGAAGCTTGAAATAAGTTTCACATCCAGCAAAAAAAAAAAAAAATTGGAGCACTGATGTTTATCAATGAATTAGAATGCAAGGTTAATATAGGACAGGCTAATATGAAGTCACAGATGAGGAAGAACTGGAGTTGAGAGGTTGGGTGTTGTTTTTAAAAAGTGTATGTTTGAGTACTGGGCTGTAGAATTACTCTTCTATGACTATTTATTATATAGTTATGTTGCCAATTTCCCCTACCAGGTGACTCTGGGAGGTTTGCAAGGAAACAAGTAAAAAGTAATTAAAAAATTAAAATGACGCAGATTAAACTATTATTTAAAACTGTACTGAAACTGCAACTATGACGGCTAAGAGATGAATGGGAATGAGGCCTTCTTACCCTATCAGCCACCTCCAGAGGTGAACCCTATATCACAAGGGTCTTCAAACTTAGCAAGTTTAAGACTTGTGGACTTCAACTCCCAGAATCCCTGAGCTAACATGACTGGCAGAGGAATTCTGGGAGATGAAGCCCACAAGTCTTAAAGCTGTCAAGTTTGAAGACCCCTTCTATATCATTTCAGACAAATAGCTGTTCAATTTCTTCTTAAAACCTCCTGCACCCACAATTTCTGGAGGCAAGTCATTTCAGTGGTTAATTGTTCTCACTGTCAGGAAATTTCTCCTTAGTTCTAGGTTGCTTCTCTCCTGGATTAATTTCCATCAGTTGCGTCTTGTCCTGACCTTTGGTACTTTGGAAAACTCCCTCTTTTTTGTGGCAGCCCCTGAGATATTGGAAGACTGCTCTCATGTCTCCCCTGGTCCTTCTTTTCATTAGACTAGACATACCCAGTTCCTGCGACAGTTCATCGTGTATGTTTTAGCCTTCAATCCCCTAATCATCTTTGTTGCTCTTCTCTGCACTCTTTCTAGAGTCTCAACCTCTTTTTCATATTGTGGTGACTTCTGAAGGTGAGTCCTTCCATTGATTTAATTGTTCTGTCAGGAAATTTCTCCTTAGTTCTAGTTTGGAATTGTTTTTGATAACCTCCCGTCTGTTATTTCTTGTCCTGACTTCTGGTGCTTTGTAGAATAGGTTAACCCCCTTCTCTCTGTGACAGCCCCTCAAATATATTCAGCTACCTTCAGCAGGGATATCTGCTGCTGGTTCCATGCAGAGTGAAGGCAGATGAGGAAGGGGTGAGCTGGATGACCCAAAGGGCCCTTTCTGACTCCATGAGTCTAATTTGGTAAATAATTGGCCCATCCACCCCCAAACCACCGATGGCTGATGTGGTAGTCTCGGCATGCCTTGATCTTAACCAAATTAAAGTTAATCCTACAGTGTGTTGTCTTCTCTTAAACTTTTCCAAGAAGCCAGATCCGCTAACAAGGGCCTTATTGGGGGCATAAAACAATCCTTAAAATGTTTTGTAGCAGTTTTGGGATTTGTGTTCATCTTGATGTTGAAAGATCAAAACTCTGCGGTTCTCAGCCAAGGGGAAAATGCCCTAGAAAACTACGTAACATTGGTCTCTTGAAGAAACCAGTGAAATGGTTTCCTTGAGAGCTTGTTAGCTAGCTAAGATTCAAGATGTTACCAAACAGAGCTAAGAGCTGGTTTGGAAAGACAAGGTAAACCAGAAGAGTAGTCTATCAGTCTCAAAAGGAAGTTAGTGTCCATAGCTGCATGTGTGCATTGGACACCAGATGTTTCCATTTCCTCTTCAGACCTTTGACCTCTTACATTGGTGCTTCTCAGTCTTAACGACTCTATGCTGTGTGGACTTCAACTCCCAGAATACCCCATGAATGCTAGGAACCTAGAAATTGTCCTTCAATCAAGTCAGGTGGTCAAGGATTGCATGCCCACATCTCACTTTGGTTTTACCCCACCTTGCAAAATTTACACTCAACCTACTCCAGGGCTTCCTCCTCGGTGAAATTCTACATGGGGTTTTATTACAAATCCTTGGCTGTCTAGGAAACAGGAAGAGGGATACTGGAGTTTGTAATTTGCACATGACTTGTTTTTCAACACGTCCTTCCCTATGCCCAAAGACAATAAATGGCACTTGTAAGGTGCAGGGATCTGAAAATAAGGAATTTATGATAGCGGGGCATAGTTGGAACACATGGTTGAAATGGATCTTTTGGTCCACAAAAATTAGCGTGCCTCCAATGATTCTGGAGGTGGGAGGTCTTCTCCTCCAAAGCCCTACTCAAGACAGGAGCTTTATACCATCCCAGTCAAATGGTTGTCCAGTCTATTTTTGAAAACTCCACTTATGGAGTATCCACAACTTCCACAGGTAAGCCATTCCATTGATTTAATTCTTCTATCAGGAGATTCCGTCTTAGTTCTAGATTGGGACTCTCATTAATGATCTTCCATCCATTGTTTCTTGTCCTGCCCTCAGGTGCTGTGAAGAATAGGTTGACCCCCTCTTCTTTGAGGCAGCCCCTGAGATATGGGAAGACTGCCATCATGTCACTCCTAGTCCTTCTCTTCAATAGGCTAGATCACAGGGGTTTCCAACCTTGGCAACTTTTAAGCCTGGAGGACTTCAACTCCCAGTCAGTTTTGCTGGCTGTGGAATTCTGGGAGTTGAAATCCTCCAGGTTTAAAGTTCTCAAAGTTGGAGAGCCCTGGGCTAGAATACCTAGTTCATCATACAGTTTAACCTCCAGACCCTTCATCATCCCAAAGGTGTTTTTTTTTCCCCAAAAGGTAAACTGGATTTTGTTTTTTCCTTGAAGACGTTTCACTTCTCATCCAAGAAGCTTCTTCAGTTCTGACTGACTGGTGGAGAATGGAAGGATATATATCCTTTGAAGTCATCTGACTGTTGGCTCTCTGAGAGTTAGATATTAACCATCTAACTGACCATTTCCAAACAGTCAGTTAGAACTGAAGAAGCTTTTTTAATGAGAAGCGAAACATTTTCCAAGGAAAACAAAAAATGAGAAAGTCCAGTTGTCTTTTGGAAAAAGCACTTTGGGGACAACCATGACCTGGATGACTGATAATGTCATTCGCCTATCGCAGGGGTCCCCAAACTTGGCAACTTTAAGACTTGGAGACCTCTGGCCAGTGGTGGGATTCAAATAATTTAACCACCAGTTCTTTGCCCTAATGATTTCTTCCAACAACCAGTTCACCAAACTGCTCAGAAAGTTAACAACCGGTTCTATTGAACCGATGCGAACCAGCTGAGTCCTACTATTGCCTCTGGATTATCTCTCGTCTTTGTGACTCTTCTCTCCACAAGTCTTGAAGACCCTTTTGGCACGTCACTTCCCATCCCTTCCAAACCACAAGCCGACATCAAATCAACAGAATTTAATCTAGTTTATTCTCCAAAAAAAAAAAGAGGAAAAATATGAAAATGGAAAAAAAAAACCCAAAGCGCAGTTCTTAAACACTAGCAGCAAGTAAAATTTGTACAACCATTCAAATCTGCATCATAGGATGAAATAAATCTACACCTTGTCTTATTTGAGAGCGCTTTTTTTTTTTTTAGTTATACATACAAACGACAATTACAAGAACTGGTTCACAATGTGAATAGGCCTTAAGACAAACCGGCTGTGACAGACAAGCTACTGTGTGTCACACCAGGTCCCCTGTTACCATCCTTAACCCCTTCTCCGTTGATCAGAGGCCCGTCGCCTGGAACGGATGACTTGCTTACAGCTTGGATGTAATTTTATCTTTTTTTAATGCATCAAAATAATTTTCAGCCAGCAGGTGAGGAGAGAGAGCGAGAGCACGCAAAACAGCTAAAAAAGCATTAACTGGCAATTTGTACATTTGCCGGTTTGTCCATTCTCTGCAGACTGTGCCATAAAATATTTCTCATGGCACTCGTACTATCCATACCTCCAAAATCTCTTTTCTTTTTTTTTCTTTTCCCCTCCCTCCCCCGTTTTTGTTTTTACAGCTACCCAGTTGTCAATCTTCATCCAAAAAAACAAAATGTACAATATTTCTTACAATATAAGTTATACAGTGTTCAGCAATTCTTTGCTTTCATTTCGGCGGGAGGGGAAAAGCAAAGGAAAGGGGAGAGAAGGAAGGAGGGAGGGAAGGAAGGAGGGTGGTATGGGTTTTATTATTATTATTTATTATTATTATTATTATTTCACAGCACTAAAAACTCAGTTCGACAGTGAAGTTGCGTGGCGATGGTTTATTCACAAATGGCCTCCAGATTTCGGTGGTTTAGAAACACAAAGACGCTCGCAGTCAACTTTCTGTAATTATTCCATCTTTGCTTTGTTTCTTTCGTTCCGAGGATTTCAGCCAATTTTACCATTTTTCCATCTTCCTTTATTTTCCCGCCAGTCCGTTTTAGCATCTGCATCGAACAGTTTTTGTTTTTGTTTTTTTGAAAGGGCCAGGAAGGTTTTTCCCTCTCATGAGGCAAATATATAAAAGATAACTTTCTCATTCAGAGAAGTCAAAATAAAAAAACAAAAAACAGGAACTTGGTTTCTTCTTTCTTTCTTTCTTTTTTTTTCACTTTTTTCTTTTTCTTTTAAGCAGGAAAGTCTCTTTTTTTTTAATTTTTTTTTTTTTCCCCCCTCTCTGCCTGAGAATGCACTCTTTTAGCCCATGGCGGTGACCATACTTGAGGGGTGGTGAGGTCCAAAAGACAAGCTGGAAGAAGGGTGCATCGGAGTCGGTGTGGTCAGCATGTGGCCCGAATGGCTGAAGGGAGAGAGATGACTGATGGACGACATGTGTCTGGAAAGGGTGGCAGGATTGAAGGAGCTGGTCTTGGGGAAATCATCCAGGCTGTCGTGAATCTTTTTGCTCTTCTTCGACTTGCTAGACATCTTCCGGTTTCGGGTCTGGATGCCTTCCTTCTTCATGGTCAGGGGTCTGTTAATCTAAACAAAAATCAATTAACTTTTTTTGTGAGCTGGTCATGTCTCCAGCTTGTCCAAAGTCTCTCACGCAAACACACACGATAGCAAAGACCTAGAGCCGTGATGGCGAACCTACGGCACGCGTGCCAGAGGTGGCACGCAGAGCCATTTGTGCGGGCACATGAGCTCCAGCCAAACTTACCTGCATTGTTCACGCGTGCACCTCCCAGCTGGTTTTCGGCCCATTTGAGGCCTTTTTCAGCCTCCCAGAGGCTCAAGGGAAGCATCTGCAGCCTTTGAAGACCGAAAAACAGGCCCGTTTCATCACTTCTGGTATTTGGAGGCCAAAAAACGGGCCCATTTTTCAGCCTCCAAAGGCTACAGAGACTTCCCTTGAGCCTCTGGGAGGCCGAAAAAGGCCTCAAACAGGCCGAAAATCAGCTGGGAGGCGCACGCAGTAAGGGGATGGTGGGGGTGGGGGGTGTTGAGCACCAATGCGCAGGGGAGCGGGGTGCATTGCATTGTGGATGCTGGCACACGCTCCCACTTTCAACACACCACAACAAAAAGGTTCACCATTACCGGCCTAGAGCGGTGTTTCTCAAACCGCTTCAAGGAGCATGGACTTCAATACCCAGAATTCCTTTGCTGGCTAGAGAATTCTGGAAGTTGGAAGTCCACACATCTTAAAAATGGCGGACGTTGAGAAATGCTATTTGAGAGCAGGGGGTCCCCAACCTTGGCAACTTTAGGACTTGTGGACTTCAACTCCCAGAATTCCTCAGCCCGCCATGCTGGCTGAGGAAGTCTAGGAGTTGAAGTTTCAACAAGTCTTAAATTTGCCAAGCTTGGAGATCCCTATTCCAGAGCAAGGACCGACAAAACAGGATGCAATTTTTAAAAAACTGGCTAGCAACATTCATTTACGTACAGGTAGTCCTCGACTTACAACAGTTCGTTCAGTGACCCTTCGAAGGCACTGCAAAAAGTGACTTCCGACTGTTTTTCACACTTACGACCGTGGTGGCACACACACACACACACACACACCAGTCTCATGATCAAAATTCAGACGCTTGGCAACTGACTCATATTTATGACGGTTGCAGTGTCTCAGGGTCATGTGATTTCCCCTTTTGCGACCTTCTGACAAGCAAAGTCAACAGGGAAGCGAGATTTGTTTAACAACCATGTGACTCACTTAGCAAAGTAAGCAGGGATCCACTTAACAATCCTGGCAAGAAAAGTCGTAAAATGGGACAAAATTCACTTAAAAACTGTCTTGCTTAGCAACCGAAATTTTGGACTCCATTGTGGTCGTAAGTCAAGGACAACCTGTGTATAAATGAATTAATGTATATAAAAATGTATATGTATTTGACTCACAACCAACCATTTATTTTGCAACCAATTCAAAGTTAAAACAGCACTCTTAAAAAAAGTGACTTATGGCCAGTCCTTGCACTTATGACCATCACAACATCCTCATAGTCATGTGATCAAAATTTGGCAAGGGACACATATTTACCACATGCTGGGATCCTTTGCAGCCTTTCCTGCTGCTTCCAAAAACCTAAGTCAATGATGGAAGCCAGATTCACTTAATGACTGCATGGTTAGTTGTCTCTCTGCTTCCCGATCAGAGATGATTTATTTTTAGATGGTCGGTGACGATGGGAACTGTAGTCCAGCTCCATATGGAAGGACAGTGCATCCCCATTCTTGAATTAAATCTCATCAGCCCAGCTTGATTTAGGAAGCTTCGTGGGTGTTCAAACACGATCAACGTACACCAAAACAGAAGGTAGGGAAGTACGGCCTTTTTACTACTTGTGGACTTCAACTCCCAGAATTCCTCAGCCGGCCATGCTGAGTCAGCCATGGCTGGCTGGGGAATGCTGGGAGTTGAAGTTCACAAGTCATAAAGAGGCCATCGTTCCCCATTTCTGCTTTAGATGGTCCACAATCCCTTTCACAGCCAGGATCAACAAGGGTATTGTGGGAATTTAGATGGAGGATAGATCTGAAATTTGGAGGATAGGACGGAAATTCATGGAATTTCAAGAACTCTGGGAGATGAAGTCCACTGTCATTCCCCATTCCCTGGACTAAAACGTCCTGCATTTGATCTCAAGATGGCAAACTAAGGTGAGCACATCAAAAGCAGTTCGATTTAGCTTTGCCATGTAATGCAGCACCATTCCACCTTGTCCAAATTACCGACTGTGGACTTCAACTCCCAGAATTCCCTAGCCAACATGGAGCTGAAGTCCACAAGTCTTCACAGTAGACCAGGCTGGATACCCCTGAGGTAACACAACCGTGTTATCTCTGCTGAGTGGATGACCATCTCACTTACATTGTGGAGCTTGTAGTACAGCCCGCAGGCATTACACACAGGATCCCCATTGGCGTTCCTCCTCCACAGTGTGGTGGTTGTCGTCTGGCAGTTTGCACACGATGTCCCAGCCCGTCTTGCAGCTGACTGTGGGGAGAAGAGAGAAAGCGAAGTCACCTCACCATTGATTCATGGGGTGGTTTTGAAGACCCTAAACTAGTATTTTCTCCATCTTGGTGACTTTAAGATGGGTGGACTTTAACTCCCAGAATTCCACAGCCAGCCATTGTGGCTGTGGAATTCTGGGAGTTGAAGTCCACCCATCTTAAAGTTGCCACTGTTGAGTATCCCTGCCCTAAACCATCACTGTGCATCCTACAAAAGCAAAGCCAGCCCATTACAATAAACCATGCATCGATTCACCCAGTTCTTCAGAGGTTGGATCCAAGTGCAATTGTGTAGTCACCTCTTTGGGTCTTACATTAGCCCACATGGTGAAAGACACAAGATTTCAATCAACAAGAATCTCAATACTTAGTTCAAAGTTGCAAAAGCCAACTCAGAAGACACCCCCAAAATAATATTTATTCCAATGCTCAGCATTGGTGTTTCTCTTGGCAACGAACCAGAACCCAATGAAATGGAAAAACTTCAAAAGAACCAGGAGAGAAATATTTTCAACATGGCCATTAAACTTTGGAGTGTGCTACCGCAAGAGGTGTTTCTGGCTGATTGGCATCAACAAGGGTGGGACCCATCCATGAAAGTAGTGGAGACAGACAGCTATTAGACCTGGTGGCAGTGGGACAGCCTCTGAAGAACATCTATGGGTAGTCCTTGACTTACAACCATTAGTGGCCCTACAAAATTACAACAGCACTGAAAAAAAGGGACTGATGACCGCTTAAAAGCCTTGGTGGCGCAGTGGTTAGAGTGCAGTACTGCAGGCTAATTCTGCTGATTTCTGATTGCCACCCGCTTTGGCAGTTCTAATCTCACCAGGCTCAAGGTTGAGTCAGCCTTCCATCCTTACGAGGTCGGTAAAATGAGGACCCAGATTGTTGGGGGCAATAGGCTGACTCTGTAAACTGCTTAGAGAGGACTGGAAAGCACTATAAAGCGGTATATAAGTCTAAGTGCTACTGCTGTTGCTATTTTCACACTTACAACTGTGGCAGCATCCCCATGGTCCCATGACCAACTTTGGATGCTAGGCAACTGGCTCATATTACGATGGTTGTGGTGTCCAAGGGGCATGTGATCCGCTTTTGCAACCTTCCAACAACCAAAGTCAATGGAGGGAAGCCACATTCTCTTAACAAACATGTCGCTAACGTCACCACTGCAGTGATTCACTTAACAACTGTCTTGCTTAACAACAAAAACATTGGGGTCAATTTTGCTCATAGGATTGGTGGCCCACTGGGAGAAGACTAGTTCTAATCCAGCAGGGCACTGCTTACATTCTTATAATCTCTACCCATAATTTTTCAATGTATTAAACCAGAGGTCCCCAACTTTTTAAGACTTCAGCTCTCCAGCTGGCCGGAGAATTCTGGTAGTTGAAATCCACAAGTCTTAAAGTTGCCAAGTTTGGAGATCTCTGTATTAAACAATAGAGTTCCCAGCTACGAACAGTCAGAGAAAGAAAAAACTCAGAGATGAATAACAATCTTAGATACATTATTCACGGGCTTCCCTAAAACCAGTGAGATCATTCACCATGTGCCTCTCCAGATGATATCAAGAATATATCCACCAAGTTCGATCATTAAGGTTTAAATGATCAGAGATTAAAAGTGAGGGATGCTAGAATGAAGCTGCTAGAATTGATCCCTCCAAACTTCCTCACAGCATCCAAGACTTTCTCAAGATCCAAGAGATAGACATCTCCACAGAGGGGGCCAATTTTCCACCCTACTTCTACTGCTCCTTATCAATTGTCTGATGTCCATCCAATGTTCAGTTCTGACACTTAAACCTTGAGGTCCTTAGCCAACCTGCGATCACCTCTTGTGACCTTCTGACAAAACAGAATCAACGGAGAAGCCAGATTCACTTCACAACCATGTGACTAACTAACAACTGCTAACTAACCAACCAACCACTTGTGGCCAGAAAGTTTGTGAAATGGGGTGGGGAATTCAGTTAACAACTCTTCTTGCTTAGCAACTGAAATTTTGGGCTCAGTCATGATCATGAAGCATGCCGTGGTGACCCACTTCTCTCCCATCGAGGTAGAGCAACTATGGGGCTTCACACAGTAGACACATCTGTCAGGATTTCGGTGATCGCCCTAATTCAATCATAAGCCTCGAGCCAAGCTTCAAAAAACTTCAAAGATTAGGAGCAACATACCAGTATGACCTGTATGAAGCCAACTCTGAGACATGTAACTTAAATCACCTATGACCCTGTCTTCCCCCACCCCCCTGGTGTATAATAATTCGTTCATGGGCTGGGTGTCATCACTCACTTTCTCCTATAAAGGATTTTCGTGGGCAGAAAACCTGGTTTCCTAAATTACAATCTTTATAAGATAAGCTTGGAATGTGCTTCTGATTTTATTTGCCATATGCTCCTTCAGGTCTTTCCCCCCTCATCCTCACGGCATCTTGGAAACAGGCATAGGAATGTTTCACAAGTTGACAACATCCGCTTCGCTTTCTTGGATCCACAACTTTGGGATGGAATTCGGAGAGCATGGTGCTCTCTCACAAAATGGCTGCCTTCAAGGATGCCGTTCCCGATTCATAAAATGGCCACCGAGAGGATGACAGCCAGAGCCAAGACACCCACTGAGAAGAAGTTAACTAGGAGGCCTGCTCCATGCAACCTTCTCATGGTCCTCCCTAAAATTTCAGCTTAGTTTTGCCTTCCTTCTCCTGGTGGAGACGGGCAAACATCCAAGCAACGAGCCCCCCGCCCCCGCTCGTTCATTATTTCTTTAAAAAGTTTGCAGGACTCAAAAAAAAACCCTATTCTTTTTCTAAAGAGTATTGAGATTGGCCCTTTGATTTCGAGCTTGCCCAGTTTCCATTGTAGTAACAACGTGCTTTGATAAATTTAAAAAATGGGAAACGGATGGACCTGGGGAGGTGACGGATGCCAAGGAAGGCGTCCTTGGACATTTGGATCCCACCATGTGGGCAGTTGGAAGCATTCTCCATCCACCCACCTCCATCTCCTTCAATCTAGGTTGTTTCTCTGATGGGCAACCTGGCCCTCATCCCACCAACCACCCTGGGGACTGTGCATTGCCGAAGACGGAGTTAATTAAAGATCCTAAGCATCCAAAATCGTTCTCCTTGACATTCTTCTCTGTATTCCTCTGAGGCTGGAGTCATATGTTCTGCAGACTGCTTGTAAACAACTCCTCAACCACCGTCCACCTCAAAATGATCAACCGATCTTTTTCGGTTAAAGTTCTTCTCACAGTTCTCCATGACTAATGAACCTCAGCAGTGGCTAACGCATTTTAGTCAAGCCATATGCCTATGTTTTATCCCAAAATGTAAAAAGCTTGTTCCCAGTCAACTTGAAGATTTGCGCAGTTGTGTATGTATGTGTGTGTGCGTGTGTTTTAACTACAACATTCAGGGCTGAACGTGGTACATCCTATCTGTAAAATAATGTCACTGCTCAACAATTTAGTTATGAGAGTCTAAACATCAGGATCAAATTTATTATGATGCTGTGTTTAAACACATTATTTCTCAGACCGGCGAGAGAGGAAACAATACTATAGAGTTATGTATTTCTCTGAGGTTTCTTTGACCAAAAACAGTGCAACGGTCCCAATATTTCTCTTTTGTGATTTGCAAAGTTTCCAAGATCTGGGCAGACAGTCCTTGACTCACAACAGTCTGTTTGATGGCTGCTCAAAGTTACGACGGCACTTGAAAAAGTGACTTGCGACCGTTTTTCACACTTATGACCATTGCAGTGTTCCCGTGGTCACATGATCAAAATTCACACTCATAGTTGTGACGGTTGCAATATCCGAGGGTCATGCGATCCCTTTTTGTGACCGTCTGATGAGCAAAGTCAACTGGGAAGCCAGCTGAATGGATTCCCTTAGCAACGGTGGCAAGAAAGGTTGTAAAACCGAGTCAAATTCACTGGGAGCAAATGTCTCGGTTAGCAACAGACATTTGTGGCTCAATTGTGGGCATACGTCAAGGACTACCTGTATTTGTGATTTTTCCAAGGCACTGCCCAAATAATATTAAAACCCAGCTTTGTGGCCTTATGGACTAGAAACATGCTGTTGTTTTTTGCCCAATAAAATCTGAATGTTTAAAAGCCCTATCACAAAACATCCCTGGCTCTTCTGAAGTAAGTCAGATAACGTAAAAAGGAAACCTACAGGGTCTATTATTTTAAATATTTTATTATTATTATTCTACTTCCAGGGAATAGCACAGTCAAACCAGGCCTGAGCTATAAACCAGGGTTAATTTTCTTTGCTGACAACAGTGGAATTGCAAGAAGTTTCACTTTGACTGAACTGAGCCTGCGGTGCCTTTTCAAATGACTGTTGTTGTCAGTTTTACAGTTGATTCATACTGTACTTTGTTTTTTTGTCAATGAATCATGCCGTATTTGGAATTCTCCAATATTGGCGTCTATTCCCCACCATGGGTAGTCCTCAACTTATGAATAAATCCTTAGCGACGGCTCAAAGTTACAGCAAATCTCCCTAGGACTACATATGGCCTGAATTCAAATTAAAAAAAAAAACTTGTAAAAAATCAGGCAGAGTGACCTGCTTAAAAACTGGCATGATTTATGACACACCTAATTCTGGGCTCAATGACAGCCGTAAGTCGAGGACTACCTGTAATATGGTCCAAGGCAGCTGATCTGGACAGAAACCCAGAGAATCGTCAAGCCCTACTCAAGATATCCCAGTTGCTCATTTAAAAATTACAGGGAGTCCTGAACTTACAATCATTCATTTAACAAATGTTAGGTCAGTGCTGGAAAAAAAAGGGACTTAAAACCAGTCCAGCCACGTATAGAGCCGTGGTGGCGCAGTGGTTAGAATGCAGTATTGCAGGCTAATTCTGTTGACTGCCGACTGCCGGCAGTTCGATCCTGAACAACTCAGCCTTCCATCCTTCCGAGGTCGGTAAAATGAGGTGCCAGTTTGTTAGGGGGTAGGCAATATCCTGACTCTGTAAACTGCTTAGAGAGGGCTGTAAAGCGGTATATAAGTCTAAGTGCTAAGTAAGAAGGAAGGGAGGAAGGAAAGAAGGAAAGGGAATACAGGAAGGAAAGGAAGGGAGGGAGGGAGGAAA